AGCCTGCGCGCAAGGGCCGCCCTGGGCCTGCCGGGGGCTCGGCCAGGGAGGGCCTGGAGCTGGAGGACATCTTCATCGCGGTGAAGACCACGAGGAAGTACCATAGGAGCCGGCTGGACTTGCTCCTCCAAACCTGGATCTCCCAGGCGAGGGGACAGGTGAGGCTTTGCCAGGGGCGCGCCCGGGAGGCTCGTCCCCCCCTCTCCCCGGGCAGCCGCTGCGCTTCCTCACTGAGTTTTAACTTGCGTGCGTTAAAAGCACCTTTCCCTGTGAGAGAGAGGAAGGTCGTCTTATCTCAATAGTTCATCTGAACCCGCCTCCAAAAGAGTTAGTTGTTGGTTAAGCTAGTTACTTGCAGTCTGGGATCGGTGGTCCAAGTGGAAACAGTTTGCTGACTTTTGTGTGTCTGTGGAAAATACTGCAGGATGGTGAGAGATCCCGAGTGCTGATGTATCGAAGCCAGTATTTTGGACTAAGCAGCTCAGCAACTTGGGTTTTTCCACAGAACGACGTAGAATTTGTTCCCTTGTTTGGGAATTGCAGTATGTTCAAGTATTTGTCACAGTGCTACCACACAGCACTTTCTCCCCTGACTTTCATTCTTTCCTTTTAGCTTGCTTAATAGCTGTGGGTGACTCCCAGCCAGGGAGGGGAGGTGAAGTTGCAGAGGGAGGTACTACCAAAAAAGAGACAGTCACTCCTATGTGGAAATGTGTTGCCTGTACCCTGAGATGAGGAGAGTAAAATCCTGGGTGCTTTCCTGAAATGAGACTCTCCTGGTCTGCAATGCAAAAGCTTCTCAAATAATCAAGGGCTGAAGTTCCTGGGGTTCTCTCTGCTCCCTCTCCCCACCCTGCTCTGAGTGGCTGCTGTGAAATAAACTAACAGGGAAAAGTTGAAATTAGTTTCTGAAATTCTCAGATGCGATCACACCTTTCTCTCAACCCATTTCTGTCTCCCACAGACGTTTATATTCACAGACTGGGAGGATCGGGAGCTACGCCTGAAAGCAGGTTAGCTGTGTAGCATAGGTGCATGCTGTCTGATAGAATGGAGTTTTGGTTCTGTCATACTTTCCCTAGAAGCCCTTATTTCATGCTGTACAAGAAATTAGGGAAGTTAAGATGGAGAAAATGTCTCCTTTCACAGGAGAATATGCTGGTCCTACTTACCACCTGGACAAGATGCCTGGAACTTCCTGAATACTGGGTTCACCTTAGCACCCACTTCCTTCCTGTTAGTAAGCTTAAGTCTGTCTGGTCCGAAGTTACACTGGGTGTTCCCTTGGCATTACAGTCTTACGGCACCACTTATACCCTGCACTCACACGTTTTTATGTACTGTACAGCTTGCATGCCATATGCATAACCCATGAGCCCTGCCCGTCCTGCAGTTTGCGCTCCATGTGTGCACCATATGCACTTCAGATGTACAGTATTTGTGCCAAACGTACACTTCTTTTGTGGTCTCTTTTGGACTACAAATGCTTCTCAAACCTGAAAGGGCTGATCTTTGTTTTTCTAGGGGATCATATGATCAACACCAACTGTTCTGCTGTCCATACCCGGCAAGCTCTCTGCTGCAAGATGTCTGTGGAATATGATAAATTCCTGGAATCTGGGCAAAAGTAGGTGAAACACGTTGTTCTGATTGACTTTGTTTCTTTCAGTCCTGTGTTCACAGGAAACTTGAGTAACCTCCTCTGCTCCGGTAAAGAATGCAGTCAGCTCAAACATGGTGATGAGCATAGGGAAGGGAGCAGAGCATGAAGCAGTGTTTATAAACAAGCATCATCTAGAAGGTGGAAAGGATGATAATCTAAGGGGGATTATTAATTTCAGCCTCTTTCCAGAAATAGGATCTGTGGGGGCTTTCAGCTTCCAAATTCTGTAGTTCAGGACAGTGGGAAATGCTTTCTGCTCCAAGACGGAAAGACTAAGACCTGGCTGTAAACCTACGACTCATTTCTTTGTCAGTGCTCTGCAGTAACTTTCTTACTTTGTTTTGTCTGAAGATGGTTTTGTCATGTGGACGATGACAACTATGTGAACCCTCGGACTCTCCTGCGTCTCTTATCTGCCTTCTCACACAGCCAGGATGTCTACGTGGGGCGACCAAGTCTGGACCATCCCATTGAAGCAGCTGACCACGTCCAAAGCGATGGATCAGTAAGCAAACTTTGCAGTTAGTCTGAGTGGCATCCTGACTTTCTGAGCTTCTAAAACTTTGAGAGTTCATAGGATTCCTCATAAAAACAAGTGATTTTGTCTGCAAGCAATGAACCTGGTACTGGTCATTTTCAGAGGCAGGGTGCTGGGTTAAATGAACCTTTGACCTGACCTCCTATGCATATGTGAAATAGAGTCCGCCTCTTGGGCAGATGTCTGTTTCTCTTCCTTTAATTGCATATGTTGGTGATCTCCCTCACACTGAAGTGAGTAGGGCCTCCCCACCTTGACCCTTTCTTTTCCTTCAGTGGTTTGGGGTGGGGTTCCTTGTTTTAGCGTGTTGGGGTTTGGTTTTGTTTGTTTTGAGAGCAGTATCACATTGTCATCATCTTGGACCAACCTCAGATAGGTGACAAAGGCTCTCTGGGAATAGAAGGCATTTCCAAGACTGAGTGGTTACTAGGTTTCCAAGAAGTAGAAGCAAACATATCTCTGTCTCAAGATACATGTGCTAAAGGACGAGTCCTTACCAAGTCACCTATACTGACAGGCCTAAAGCTAAATCAGTCCACTGGCCAGAAAGTGAGTTACAAAGCAGCTTGTTAGGGAAAACTCTGCACAACAAAATGGACCACCTCTTGATTTCTTCAGGAACACTGAGCCGGCTGTGACCCTTGGCTAGAATGACCAGGGGATGGGTGGAACTGGGTAGGAGTGGGACTATAGTTTCCCATTTCATGTGTGCTACCTCAGTTTTGTAACTTGATGGTTTACCTGCTGTCAGTTCCAGGATAAGGTTTCCTTTGAGGGAACAGCTAGCGGGGCTTTCAGCAGCCTAAAGAAGCAGGAATTAATCTGTAGTCTTGTTCTGACTCAAATGCAGTATGTGATATCCAGTAGAACCTCAAGTTCCCTTCCCTGCCCAGCCAAATGGAAAAAGCTGATTATCAGTAACTACTGTGTGTTTTTCTTGTTGCTCTTCAGAAGACAACTGTGAAATTCTGGTTTGCCACAGGTGGAGCAGGGTTCTGTATCAGCAGAGGTCTTGCCCTGAAGATGAGTCCCTGGGCCAGGTAAACACTGTTCCTAGTTGAGCTCCATCAATAAGTGTTTGGTAGACCTTAAAGCATATTTCGTCTTGTCACCTGTGCTCTGTCTTGCAGCCTAGGTAACTTCATCAGTACTGCAGAAAGGGTGCGTCTTCCTGACGACTGCACTATTGGCTACATCATTGAAGGGCTGCTGGAGGTGAAGCTGCTGCACAGCCCGTTGTTCCATTCCCATCTGGAAAATCTGCAGAGACTACAAGGCGAGTCTGTGCTGCAGCAGGTAGGGCTAAGCATCATGTCCTGTTCTTACAATTACACCAAAGCATACTCTCTGTAGGCTTGGCACTCTTCAGCAAAGAAGGATGTCTACAGACTCGCTCAGAGCTGTGTCCTGTCCAATTCCTTCATTTAGGTAAAAAGCATACTTTCACCCTAGCAATTAGGTCATAGAGCTGTCCCCTCCTTTGGGGACACGTTCTGCTACATTAAGCCTAAATACAGTGTTCCTCACCTCTGTCTAAACTCTTACGTTCCGTGAGTCACAGAAGCAGCAAGCGTAGAAGGAGGCAATACTTAGTTTGCCTGCCATGTAAGAAAGTATTTCTGTCTTCGCAGGACAAAGCCTCAGTCTTAATTCATGCTGTTCAAAAAGACCAGTGTCACAAGTGCCTCTTCACTAAGACATAGTTAAATGTTTGATCATTTTTAAGAATAACTTGTCTGAATTTCAAGAAACTTGATCAGTGTTTCTTAGGAAAAATCAAGTATTTTTGTAATTGCTGGGATACCTTTTTATTCATGGCCAGTAGGTGGAGCTATAAGGCTATCCAGAAGCTTTGTCTGCCACCTCCTGTTTGGCACCATGAAAAAACAAGAGTGCGGTTCTGCCCCTTCAAACTGCTTGGTTATATTTTCCTGGCAACTGTAGTGCAGCAGAAGTGCACACTTGGGGCCAAATTCCAGTGTGATGTAGTCTCCTTCATGTTAGTGAATTTAACTGTAGGCTGAATACAGCTTTTCTTTGGTGATCATTGTTTCCCTGAGACCATAACGGCTAACCCAAAATCCAGGAAATCTACAATTTCAAAGAAAACATCAGTTGTTTTGGGCCTGGCACCTGAAAATTTCTTAATACAGTGCTTGTGTGGAAGAACAGCACTGAATTAGAGTTCCAGAGATCTAAATTTTGTTGCCAGGTTTGTCGCATGGCAGTCCTTTGCATGCCATTTCACATCCAAACGTTTCTATTTCCCCTCTGTGCTAAGACACTACTCTTGCAGACGTCAGGCAATGTCTGGTGAGGATGAACATATTACTTAGTGCAGGTACAGACATCAGCAAGATTAACGCCGTTACCGTTGTAACACATCTTGTCCTTCGGGGCAATGTGACTTCCAGCTCCTTTGTTTATTCTCCCGCATTGCCTTTAGATGAGCAGTGGTCCATTTGATAGCTGCCATTTGGTGCCAATATTGCTCATGTCAAAACTAACCACTGTTTTTCAAGTGTAATCCACCACTTGGATCAGACAGGATCCTTGGAGTCTTTCTTCCTACCTCATTAATAATCCACTCTGTTTTTCTCTATTAGTGTTACAATTTCTGAATATTCATTTGCTTTTGCAGGTAACCCTAAGTTACGGGGACCCTGAGAACAAGCACAATGTTGTGAGTGTTGGAGGAGTGTTTGGCC